AAAAAAAAAAAAAAATTGGCTGCACACGGTGGTGCGCACCTGTGGTCCCAGCTACTAGGGAGGCTGAGGCAGGGGACTGCTTGAGCCCAGGAGTTTGAGGATGCAGTGAGCTATGATGACACCACTACACTCTAGCCCCAGCAACAGAGTAAGACCCTGTCTCAAAAAAAAAATTATACATACATACACACGCACACAGAGATATATATAACATAAAATTTACCATCTTAACCATTCTTAAGTGCATGGTTCAGTAGTGGTAAGTATGTTCACATCTGTTGCTCTCCAGAACTTTTTCACCTTGCACAACTAAAACTCGATACCCATTAAACAACTCTCCATTTCCCCCTCCCCCTACCCAGAGCCTGGCAACTACCATACTACTTTCTCTTCCTATGGATTTGACAACCTTAGATACCTCAGATAAGTGGTAATATGTAGTTTTTGTCTTTTTATAACTGACTTATTTTACCTAGCATAATGTCCTCAAGGTTTATCCATTTTGTGGCATTTGGCAGGATTTCCATCCTTTTTAAGGCTGAATAATATTGCATTGTACGGATCCGCCACAATTTGTTTATCCATTCATCCGTCAATGGGTGCTTGGGTTGCTTCCAGTTCTTGACTGTTATGAGTAGTGCTACTATGAATATGAATGTGCAAATATTTTTTTTAAGATTCTGTTTTCAATTATTCTGGATATATATACCCAGAAATAGAATTGCTGAATCATATGGTAATTCTATTTTTAACTTTTTGAGGAACTGCCATACTGTTTTCCACAGTGGCTACACCATTTTACATTGCCACCAACAGTGCACAAGGGTTCTGATTTCTCCACATCATCCCCAAAACTTGTTATTTTCTGTTTTTTTGATAGTAGCCATCTTATTGGGTATGAGTTGATGTCTCGTTGTGGTTTTGATTTGCATTTCCCTAATGGTAGTGATATTGAGCATCCTTTCATATGCTTATAATAAAACAAGCAATGGGATACTCAACGAAGTCAAGTTAGCAGCAACTCAGAGCAAGTGCAGTCCTGAGCACCCTCCCACCAAACCCAGCCACTGTCCCAGGCTGTCACCTCCCCAGAAAAGTCATGGCACTGCTTCAAATATGGAGAAATACTTGGAAGTTTGTTACAAAAAGACTTAATAGGAACGCTAAGATATTTGATAAAGAATTGAGGCTTAAAAAGGCCATTCACAGGGGCATACAGAAGTTGCAAGAATACATGCTGAAGATGCAAAATGTCAGAAAAACCAAGCAATGTATTTCTTAAGAATAGGGGCCAGGCTCAATGCTGTGGCAGCCCAAGAGCAAACCGTAGTAACAGTGAGCAAGGTCAAGTCCATGCAGGTGCAGTCAGGTCTATGCATGCTACATGGAAGAGTATGAACCTGGACAAAAGATTTCTGCTTTGATGGGCAAATCTGAACACCAGTTTGAAACACCGGATGTTCAAATGCAAATAGAGGACACACTGAGTAGCACAGCAACTCTAACAATACCACAAAACAAGAGGATATACCACTTCAAGAAATGGCAGGTAGTGGATTTTGAAATGCTTTTTTAAAGACTATGTATGCACTTAATTTGTTTTAATGAAACAAAATTGTTTAAAAAAGAAAAAAAAATAAATGGCAGGTCACGACACTGGCCTTGATCCCAATATGGAGCCATCACAGGGTCAGACAGGAGATGTTGGCACAAATGTTTCGACAGAACAGATGAACAATTACAGAGACATGCTCACCTCCATGGTGAAGTGCAATGTAAGGAACTGGTTCTGCTGTTTACTTCTCTTGCCTCTGAATTACTCCTTGAGGGTACATATAGCTACGTTGCACTGGAAACACCACACCACAATGCTTATTCATCTACAATGCTTCAATTTTTTTTTTTTTTTTTTTTTTTTTTTAGAGACAGGGTCTCACTCTGTTATCCAGCCTAGAGTGCAGTGGCCTGATCATAGCTCATTGCAGCCTCTAACTCCTAGGCTTAACCCATCCTCCTGCCTCAGCCTCCTGAGTAGCTGGGGCCACAGGCACGTGCTACCACTTCCAGCTTGTCTACACTGCTTTCTGTTACTTTGCTGCGCTTTCCAAATACATTAAGAGATTCCAGAAAATTTTTACCTCGCCAGATTTTGTGGCTCTATATAGTATGTGTAAAAGTATAGGGGACATATTTTATAGATGTTTTTGGCAAACTAGCATTAACCTATTGCAAATGAAATAATCTTCCTCAAAGGTTAGATCAAAACTCTAGTACCAAAAGTATTATGTAAACTACTTAGAATAAAGACTTTTTTGGTCTTTTTAAAATTCAAAGTAGTTTACCTCTGTATGCGTTGACTTGTGGCACATAAAAGGAAAAGCCGATACATGGTATTAGAAGTGTCCATGAAAGAAAAAATAAAAAATAAAAAAATAGAAGCAGAGAAAAGCATACTTAATATGTTTACATGGACAAAAACAACACATTCATTGTATATAATGGACAATGCCACTTTTTTGTGTTTTTTGTTTGTTTTTGCTAAGTAGAGATGCCATCATTTTTGTTTGTGTGTTCGTTTTAAGAGATAGAGTCTTGCTTTGTTTCCCAGTGCAGTGGCATCATCATAGCTCACAGCAACCTCAAATTCCTGAGCTCAAGCAATCCTCCTGCCTCAGCCTCCCAAGTAGCTGGGACTACAGGCACGCACCACCATGCCCAGCTAATTTTTACTATTTTTAGTCATTTGGCTAATTTCTTTCTATTTATGGTAGAGACAGGGTCTCACTCTTGCTCAGGCTGGTCTCCAACTCCTGAGCTCAAGCAATCCTCCCAGCTCGGCTTCCCAGAGTGCTAGGATTACAGGTGTGAGCCACCGCGCCCAGCCAACATTGGAATTTTTATCCAGTAGTCTAATGACTACTGTTTGAATTCCTTAAATTTTTAAAAAATTTTTCATTTGATAATTTTCTATATAACTAGAAAAATTCTGCAATGTCATATCAGAAAATAAAAATGAGCAAAATTTAATTTCTCCACTTATTAATTATCAGTTTTATTAAGACTCCAGAAAGTTTATCCTTTCATACTTTAAAATGAAGTTCTCAAATATTTCTAATGATTCTCCTAGCCAATTCTTATTAGGCTGCATTTTGAAAAAGAGGTTCATGCATGACATTCACATCCATTTACTTTTCCATAGAACTGTTGATTTCTTTCCAAAAAGTCTTGGTCCGTGGCTGGGTGCACTGGCTTATATCTGTAATCCTAGCACTCTGGGAGGCCAAGGAGGGAGGATTGCTTGAGGTCAGGAGTTCGAGACCAGCCTGAGCAAGAGCATGATCCCGTCTCTACTAAAAATAGAAAAAATTAGCCGGGTGTGGTGGTGCCCACCTATAATCACAGCTACCTGGGAGGCTGAGGCAGGAGGATCGCTTGAGTCCATGAGTTTGAGGTTGCTGTGAGCTACGCTGACTCCACGGCACTCTAGCCCATGCAAGAGAGTGAGACTCTGTCTCAAAAAAAAAAAAAAAAAAGTTTTGGTCCTTACTTTTAAATCAAGCAACTTGTTAGAACTGCTCTTTAAGTCCTGGGTAAATCAGTTCATTCTTTTCTCTAACTGCAACAGCTCTTTAATAACAGGGAGAAATGAAGAGAGAATAAGTAAGTTTTTTCAAAAGCATTATATAACATGTTCTTACAGTTGGTAGGCCCAGTATTTCTCATCCCCTCCCCTCTACCATTCTTCCTTCTTTCTGGCATTTTTCTAGCTATTCTTGCTTATTTATTTCTCCATATAAATTTTAGGATCAGTTTATCTGGTTCCAAGAACAACAACACATCTATTGGTTTATTAAAAAAAAAAATCACTGCCAGCCATTGACCTTGACTTTGTCCATTCCCTACTTCCTTAGTTGCATGTAAAAACAATACCCAAGCTCACTCACCTGTGCTTTTTCATTCCAGATGAAGGCAGAAGCTAAAAGTATGCTACATGATGACAAGTCAAAGCAGGTAAATGCCAGCACCTTGCTGCCAGACTGGTGAGAATACAGCCAGTGGCTCCTCCCTTATCTGCGTTCACTTGCAGTGTATCTGACTCTCCCCCAAGGTTCAGGGCTGGCTGACACATGGTGATGTCCTCATTTCAGTAACTGAGCTGATTGGAACCGCAGCCCCTTTGCCTGCATGTCAGTGTGTGTGGCTGTGGGTAGTTAGTTGAAAAGCCCTGTTTTTAACTGTCGTTGTGTCTTGGCCAGTCCCGCCTGTAGCCCTTCGCATGCCCCATGCTTGAGGCCTTTAGAACCACCCCTTTATATAACTGCTCTGGGGACAACACAGGCCCCCTGGGGGGTGGAGCCAGGAAGGCTGTTGACTCCAGCCAACTTCTGCACTGGGTTCCCGTGCTTCACAGGGACCTTTGCTCTGTTTATATTCTCTTCATCTGGGCTACTGGAGAGATTAAAAACTCACTATCCCTAAAAAAACATGCAATCTTGTAAGTGAAACTGAGGTTTTAATTTGACTTAATTTGGCTTGATCTAACTCAGAAGATGAAAAATTCCCTCTGAGTCTAGAAAAGTTCCTGAAAAAACTCTCAGAATCCTAAAAAAACGAATAATTGGAAAAGCCCAAGGTAAACTGTCTAGCAAACTCAGGGGACATTTGAATGGCCCATGTAAAAGAACAAGTTGTCCAGATTGGTCTGGCCAATCCAGCCAGAAAGAGAGAGAGAGAGATCATTTCCAGAGCTCAGGACCTCGATGAGCGCTAGCCCTTCAAAGCATTCCCTGGCCATGAAAAATGACTAAAGGACTTCTTGGTCTTTTGATGAAAATGCTAAGAAATGATTCAGTGCAGATTCAAATTGTGCAGAATGAGTTAATCAAAACAATCTGTTCCTCCAGATCTTGAAAATCTGGATTAGTATGTAGTGTCCTGTTAGATCGTCTCCCACCCTGCACCCCTGCTGGCCCCTCCCTCTGCACAGCCACTCCGCCATTCGCTAACTGCCGATGAGCCCCAGGCACATGCCACAGGGACCACCACCTCCAGTTCCTTCCTACAAAAGAATATGAGCAGACCCCATCTGGGCCTAGAGACACAGAACTGAGTGTGGTATGTGTCATTCCTGTCCATAGTACAATGGAAACTGGTGATACTCCTGGCTGGTGTTTTCCCTCTGAAGCGGGGACCCAGCGCAAGCCATGGAGCTTGCAATGACCTGTGGTTTAGAGAACCTTTTAGAGGGGAACATATAAGGACCTCCCAGTGATTGGCACTGGTGTCTTCTTTACTCTTAGGATGGCCAGCCTTTAGCTGGCAGCCTGGGTGACTCTTGCTGGAGGGCAGAGGAATTATTAAAAGTCAGAACATGTATTCAATTCACTCTTTTCTTTAAGGGCAAGAGGGCGGGATTGGGAACATAGGCCTGGCACATGAACACAGTGAAGTCCCCATGACTGGGAAAAGATTTCCTCATCACAGTTTCTGCAGCTCCTTCTATGATGGCTCTCTCAACCCTGCCTGCCCACTGGCATGCCCTGGGGGCCCCAGGTCCCACTCCTACAGACTCATGGAATGGGTTGGAGAGGACGCTGGGCATCGGGACTTTTTAAAAGCTCCCAGATGATTCCAATGTACAGATAATGGGTATCGCCATTTGCCAAGAGGACTGGTGATGAAAGCCCACAGCTATTGAGGCCTTGCCTGTTCTTTGAGTGACAGAACTGCCTACTAGTCTCTTTAGAGTCAGGGTAATTCCCTTCCCTCCCTCAACCTTGATGTCTAAATTATCTCCATAAACACACCAATGAGCTCTTGATTAGGAGGAGCCTCCCACAGAAGCTGAGAAAAGGTCAGCAGATGTCACTTCCTGGCTGGTTGAGAACCTGGTCCCCTAGCATTCCTGCTGTGCCCCAGCTGTGAGCTGGGCATGAAGGCAGGAGGCTGGCTGGGATCTGACACTGTCTTGTCCTCCTCCAGGAGGGACATATCTGGGGCTCCATGAGGAGGACGGCTTTCATCCTGGGCTCTGGCCTTCTCTTGTTTGTGGCCTTCTGGAACTCAGTCACATGGTAAGTCCGCTCCTCCCAGCTTTGATCCAGGACCTAGGGGCAGCGTGGTGGTGCCTGGGCAGAGAGAGGAGTAAGGAGCTGTCTGCCCACTAGTCTTCACCCAGAAACCTCTTCGGTTTTTCTTCAAAGGCATCTTCAGAGATTTTGGGGTGCTTCTGGCTACTTTTGGCAAGCCCAGTGGGAAAGGCTGCTGTCTACATACGAAGGGAAGGAGTGGATCCTCTACATTATTGGTAAGGCTCCCAAACCACTAGTACTTAGGGTACTCAATTCCTTTTCTACTGTTTTGTTCTCTACTTTGAGACTTCTCAGTTTATTATTCCAAGGGATGAGGACTTGAAGTTCAAAAAGGTGGTAACCCCAAAGAGTACTAAACTCTCAGGTAGCCTGGAAACAGGATGTCTAGGAAAAGAAGCTGAGAAGTTGAGAACACTGCCACGTGCAAAATGTTTTATGTGAAAATGAATGCATGATTAGAGCAATAATCCTGTTTCTACATGTAATTTCACAACTGCAGAGAGCTGCTCTATCTTGTCTGAGACTGTGTCCTCTGTACATGGTACGATCAGTGCTTGACAGCAAGTGACCACACAGTATTTACTGACAGCATGAATGGCTCCAAACAAGCCTAAGAAAATAAAATGGAAGGAAAATGCCATTTAAACATAGACATTTATATCAGCACTATCTATAATAATGAATGTCCTCAATCATACATTTATTTACTCAATTATTTATAGTTTGTTTAATATTTTATATATTATTACATGTCATATATAATAAATATAAATGTATTAATATGTTATATAAATGTATGTAATGTTACTATGTGCCAAACCTATATGGAGGATATAGAAATATTTAAGATGAAATGTTTGCCTAGCCATTAAAAAAACTGTATCACAGTCTAGAAGAGGAGATAAAAAGTGTCAGTTGTCACAAAACAAAAGTACATATAAAATGTGCCTGAGAGGCCAGGAATGATGCCTCACATCTGTAATCCTAGCACTTTGGGAGGCTGAGGTGGGAAGATCACTTGAGCCCAGGAATTTGAGACCAACCTGAGCAATATAGCAAGACCTTGTCTCTACAAAAAACAGAAAAATTAGCTGGGCATGGTGGTGTGTACCTGTAGTCCCAGCTACTCAGGAGGCTGAGGCAGGAGGATCTCTTGATCCCAGGAGTTTGAGGTTGCAGTGAGCTATGATGACGCCACTGCTCCTAACCTGGGCAACAGAGCAAGACCCTGTCTCAAAAAAAAAAAAAAAAAAAAACCGCGTGAGGATTGTTTTCAGCTAGATGGAGAGCTCTGAAAATGGGCTGAATATTAAATATAACAGATTCAATGGAATCTTAAACAGGCATCAAACAATGTAGATTATTTATGTATATGGGGAAAGTGGTAGGAAAACATTTTATATACTTCTGTTACAATGATGTGAAAGCTACCTATTATTTGGTGATAAGCAAATACCAGAAAGATAAAATATTTGCAATTTTAAATGTTAGAGCTGGAAGAAAGTTCAAGATCATGTTACGTTGTGGTTTTCTTTCTGTATTCCTTGTGGAGCCTTTGGAGTTCCAACTAGGCAGACATCTTGTTGGTTGGCTCACTGGGTAACTACCAACCTAACATTTTTTTTGCCAAAATAAAAAAATAGTTTATTTCCAAGTACAAATGGAAATATGTGCTCATTTTAAAAATAAAAATCAGGCCAAGTGTGGTGACTCACACCTGTAATCCCAGCACTTTGGGAGGCTGAGGTGAGAAGTCACTCCTTTCTTCCCCTTTCTTCTCATGCTGTCACATTTCAGGCCTGGGTCAGACCTCAAGGGGCCCAGTGATTCCAGCTGCTGTGCCCCGCAGGGAGGCTGGCTTTAAGAAGGATGGGGCCAAACTTCCTATGTCTGAGCTCACCCACATGCTCCCTTCTGCTGGTGTGAACCCCACTCCCAGCTCTGCACATTCTCTGTCTCCAACTGCTGGAGCCAAGGCATCATATGCTCTGGATAATAAAGCCATCCAGAAAGTTCTCCGGGGGAGCTGGGCACCACACTCTGGTTTGCACCCTTGGGGCCAGGCAGCCAGGAATATCACAAAAAGTCTGACCTCAAAGCTGAGCTCCTGTCCCCAGCACGCTGGAGCCACAGAGCCCAGAGAGGTTCAATACCCAGGTCCTTCTTTTTCCTGACGCCCTCTTCTTCCGATGAGACCACGTGTAGTTTTCACCCAAGACCCTATTTTTACAGAGCCTGACAAAACATTCTCAGCAGGCCCGGTGACCTCTGTCCCAATTTTCTCAGTCCTAAAGAGCAAAAGCTGCTGAGGGTCGGGGAAACACACAGTGAGACCAATGGGAGGTGAATGTAACTAGTAGATGCATTTGTTTTTCCTGGGAAGCAGGATTTGGAGTTGCTCTTTTTAGCTGCTATCAAAGCTGTGGACTTGCATCTGCTCACAGGCTGCAGACCTGAGGGACGGCTGGTCAGATGGTGTATTTGCTGTACACCGTGAGCTCCTCCGGGGCAGGGGCTGGGCCTTGTTCCCCACTCTTTGACCAGCACTCACCACCTAACACAGTGTCTAGCACTGAGTGGTCAATCAAAAAATATCTG